ATCTCAGTTTTTCCTTTCTTGAATACTTCATTTCGTTATATTCAGCTGTAAATTTGGTGAGAGAAACAGATAAGTAGATCAGTGTCTTGCAACCAGAATCACGAACGAGTTTTGATTCAATTTTATCAAATCAAGTTCGAGTTGGCCTATAGAAGCTTTTGAGTTAAAAATTTTCGTCAATAGCACTTGTCTATTCTTCCTGCTGATGTACAAGAATGTCAATCGTATTTTGTGAATGAATTTTATCCACAATATAAAGGAAACTTCCAAGAATAGTATTTCTCTCAAATTGGTTTTACTTTTTCATTCAATGACGTTTAGTTCTTTTCGCTTCAGTCGTTCAATTAAGTAAAGATTTCACGTCAATGCTTCATAATTTTTAGAAACCTAAACGATTTTTTCGAAAGTAACAAACTGGCGTGAATAGAAATCATAGAGCGAGGAGAGAAGAAAAAAGCGACAGAAAATCATCACGATACTCGTATTTAATGGCCTTATCTAGTCAATGTTCGCTTCATCCTATATGAATCCGTACAATACCGTCAGTGTTATCGTCAAAAAATCAACAGAAAAATGAATGCTCCAAAAGTCAGAATATGGAAAAAAAATTGAATCTCTCCACCTAGTTTCAATTTAAAGAGCAGACTTTTTCTGTGCTGATAGAAGAAAATTCCAAGTTTTTATTTGTACAAAAAAGTTTAAGAAAAACTAAAACAACATAAACGAAAGCTATTCTATACCAAAATTTACTGTTTTTATGAAGAAGTAACAGTAGTCTACCGAGTCTTCGGAAATTTCATCCGTATACAATTGGATGAGTAGTCACAGAAGACATGATATTCGAATTTGAAAATAACTATCCTATCAATTCATCGACAAGTCGTGTCGTCATAGATCTTGATCATTTTGTGAGATGGTATGTTTGGATACACATTGTGTCTGAGTCCAAATTGTAAAAAAAAAACATCTAATATGAAACGAATGTAACCGAATGAACAAGAATCGAGTAGTCGATTCGAACGGAAATTCGTTGTCATCGATGTCGAAGAATCACCAACAACGAAATCTCTTCTGATTATTAAATCGATACAATGTACCAATCGGTCAGCCGACACACCAGAGTAATTATTCAATTAAGCGAACATCTCAACAACATCGAATCCACCTGTAATACATCATTGTGTTTACTTTGAAAATAGTTTTTCAATTGGAAATTCAAATGATTTTGAACGTTTTATAATTAGAAAATTTCTTTGATCAAGAATCAAAAAATCTCTTCATCGGCAGTCACCTACACCCCAACAAGGCAGAAGTTTGCCTCACTTATTGATGGATTCAAGACTCATAGTAATAGTGCAAAATGACGAGTACAATTCATTTCTCTTTTTGATGATGGAAAATTTATTGGTCGTGCACCTATCTATCGTTTTGGTCATGCTATTTTGTTTCTGAATAAAAACAGATCGAATATTAATCGGAGAGTATAGACATAAAACGTTTTTTTACAATACGTTGTCCAAAAAAATGTCTTTCAGTGAAAAGAAAGAAACCCAATGAATTACTCTTGAGTCGAAATCTGTCGATGAGCGCCATTCGAGACTCTGCTGAGGAATTTCTGAGTTTATTTTCCTACGAAAAACGAACATTTTACACTAATACAGTTACATAGAACAATGCATGGTATTTCGTAGTTACACTGCTTCTTGAGAAAACTTTCTTCTATCATCAGTCTGCTATATAAGGGCAATAACAATTATTTTGCATAGAAAATTATATAATATTTAAAAAAAAATATTAATATAGATTAACTGAATCATTTCTTCTTAACTGTGAATCAGTCATTTATTTTAGATGAAGTTATTCCTATAATCAAATGTAGCAATAAAACAAACTGATGTACAATTTCTGTTAGAGTTTGAAATACATTCCAAATATTGTAATTTAAATATTTTAACGAGAATCTGATAGTCTGTTAGGATTTCTGACAATGACGAGCATTTGACAACCGAAATTTTGATCAGCTTGATAAGGTCCATGTTTCATTCCAGGATTGCGCCATGCATGATATCCTTTACCAAATGTTTGACCAAGAGAAAGATCAGTAATAGCACCTTCTAGGATGTAAACTTCTTCATGAAACGTATGCGTTATGATATCATTACCAGTCTTGAAACCACATGGCCATGTTTGTATACTAGTCTCTGGAGATAATTGTGTTATACAGATTTCTTTTGATTCACATAATGGAAATGAAGGAAGGTTAGGTTGATAAAACTCACGATTATTCATATACATGTTTTGCCTGATTTATTTTGATAGTAAACGATGATTATTAATTATTATCCACTGTGTATAATGGCGAACGACGGCGACACAGAAAACCTAAATATTAACGCACTGTTGTTGAGTGAAAATATAGAGAAAGATGAAACCAACAACATACATAAAAAAAACGTGTAATGACAAGATAAGAAAAAAGTAACACGAAGATATTTGTTTGCTCTTCTTATAAACATCACCTGTTACATTTCAATTAAAGATACTTATTGAAGGGTGTGGAGGTGGATGCATGTGAATAATGAGAAGGTTCAAGCCTACATCTTTCACAATTATTTTTCATTTGATTTATTTCTTAAACAATTAAGTAAAGAAATTATTAGACGCAAACATACTTGAGGGTGTGGGTCTTCTCTAAATCCATACTGACACCCACACACGCGGCGGCACATATGCTATGCATTGACGATCGAAAATCACTGTCGATGTTGACCTTCTTGTCACGACTGTCCAAACAGTTACCGGATATATAAGTCTCGATTGAATAAGTTCCATGGGAGACTGTAAGTAAAGCCATGCAAATGACAATAAACAAGAGAACAAACATGGCCGTCATTGTATATGTAAAGATACGGGTACGAAGGCTCCTTTATATATTTGATTATTTTGATTGAAAATAGTGAAACATCAGTCTCTGACTCACTTCCGAAGATTGGAATGGAAATATAGTGACTCTTTATATATGTTTTAGTTTCTTGTTAAAAACCGATCAGACACCCTTCTTAATAGAGTATTTGAGCTCAAACAGTAACAGCAGCTTCAAAAACGAATAGAATTGAGTATTAGAACCAAAGTGAAATAAGAGAATTGATTATTTATTGTACAAAATTACTGTTCGTCATTCGTCCAGATCAACTATGTCTCCTTGAAACGGACACAATTTGAGGAGATTCGTGACCGAGAAAGTGGGGAAGGCATCGTATTGATGGACCTCAAATCGTTGACCAGCGGGCAGAAGTATGGACGCTGTGTGGACAGATTTTTAGAGACAAGGAACGTTACTTCCTAACAGATGCCCCAAATCTTCCAGCTCGTAGAGGACATAGTTTGTCCCGGAGAGTAACGACGATATACGCTCTGTATTGTGCCATGTAGGGGTGGGAAGTTACCGTTACCGTTCCCGGGTAACGGTAACGGGGCAGTTACCAGTTACCCGGGTAACTGGTAACGGGACAGTTACCAGTTACTTTTCAGGGTAACTTCTTTAAAACGACGAATTATGACTTCTTATGATCGAATTTTGTGAAAAAATTAATTTTTGAATTTCGGAGTTACCCGGGTAACTGGTAACGGGAAACCAGTTACCAGTTACCGGGTAACTCCGGAATTCAAAAATTAATCTATCGACGAAATTCGATCATAGCAAGTCATAATTCGTCGTTTTAAAGAAGTTACCCGGAAAAAGTAACTGGTAACGGGGCAGTTACCAGTTACCCGGGAACTGGTAACTTTTTCCGTAGCAACCGTTACCGTTACCGTTCCCGGGTAACGGTCTGGGAACGGTAACTTCCCACCCCTAGTGCCATGTAGCTGCCAATACATGGTAGTTGCCTTGTAAGGACGAATTCTGCACTACTAAGCATACCAAGACTGCCAACATCATTCCCCATTCATTGATCTTATACATTGTTCGTACTATTTCTGAGAGAAGTGATTGATGCGCTTGATGAATTCTGCAGGTTCTCTTTCCGATTCGCTCTTGATTTCGATTGACATTTCTCTTCTTCTATTGTTTATTGTTATTTGATGTTTTGTGTTGATGTTGCTGTCAATAATCTGATTGTTCATAAATTGATTGTATCGATCCGAGTCGGAATTATGACCTGTGTTTTTTTTTCATTTCAGCTTCAATTTTTTCAAGTCATCTGACATTTTTCAATCATTTTACATAGTTTTTCTTTTAGAAGAATTTCTCGTAAAATATCAATGTTATAAGAAAATGCGAGCAAAAAACTGTTGTTTTACTTTATATTGATTCGACGATCAGACGACTAGTCAAGTGAAAGATGAATTGAATCAGTTGATCATTATGAATCACAACAAGTTCGACCAAAAAATGATAAAAAACTTAGAATCTTAAGACCATCAATTACAAACGGAAGACTTGAACTACATTTATGATCCGTTTCAAAATTACGAGAGAAAAACATTATTTGAAATTGCGTAATGGTGTTGATTTGTTTCCGAAAGTTCATTTTCTTCTTTCAAATATTACTTAGTGCAGTCAAGACTATATTGCCAATTGAAACGAAAATAAACATCAATATTGTTGGATGTTGATACAAATAAGACTCAAAATAGGTTAATCTTTGTTAATTGATATGTAAAAGATAAACATTGTTTTGTTTCTTTTTCTATCGCTTCGTGTATCAACCAAGACAAACAGCATTAGCTATGAATAACATCGGTTGAAGTTCTGTTCTAATATCCCATTGTCAACAAGACAAGACAGGATAATAAGAAATACGAAGAGAATAAGACTTACTATTGTGGTTATCTATAACATGAGTGACAGAATAAAGACAAGAGAGATATGTTGGTTGATGGGAATAAGTTGGCGAAGAGAATCATAGAACAACGACATTTTGAATATTGTCTAGTTTTTTTCTTGCGTTATTATTGTTCTTGTTCGCATTCGTCTTGGCTTGATTGTTAAGAGAAAAATGTTGCCAATTGAATATATTGGTCGTTCAAGTTCATCAGAAACAAATTTTGATTTTGATGTTTTTAATGAACAATGGTTAAAGTCGAATGAAACAAATCAATTACATTGGATTTGTCGACCAAATTTGAATGTAATTCGTCATCGATATGCAACAAATTTGACCGATCTTGAACGAATTAAAATTCGCTGTGACATCAATGATCTTCGTGAAGAAACAATTCGAGTGAGTCAATTTGATATATTAATATTAGATTGTTTCGTTTTTTTCCTTGTTGCAGGTTGATGCTGACAGAGGACTTGTAATCATCAAAGCATTGCGACAAACATCTGACAAAAACGTTTTTGAAAAACGAATTGAATTGAGTAGTGATGCCGATATACAAACAATGATGTCGTTTATTGATCCACAACGACACGAACTGATCATTGCAATGATCGTTGCCAATGTTCAACATCGACGTGATTCATTACCAACGATCAATACTTCATCACGTCGACGTTGTTCACTACAAACATCGTCTTTGAGTGATGTACGACGATCATCAATATCAGGTAAATAAATTTTTATTTTCTCGTATTTTATCTCGCGAACAGGATTGACTAATAATGATCTACTCATGGAAATTCCACCTGAATTTATTCTCACGGGCAAAATATTGAGCATCGAAAAGCATACAGAATTGTTCATCGGTGGTCGTCATTTGTCTCGACCTCCACATCCAATTCGAGTACGACACGGTTTATGTCTTGTCGATGTACATGACCCTTCAAAACAATCATCCAATGAGAATGATTCTCAATCAGGTGAGAAAATCGATGTTCAAAACATATGACTTCTTATTTCGTTGTTAATTTTCTAATTAGTGATACAAATCAAAATCGATTTATGTCCGGAATTTCTTCGCAATGAACAGAAAATTATTATTCGAGAAAATTCAACGATTCCTCTTGGATCATTATCAGGCAATTGGATTGATCTCTATCAAGATCAACGTTCAGCACCGACCAATGATGTTCTCATCGAGATTAATTCAGCTGATTTGATTCGAGATCGAACAATTCTTGTACAGAAAAATTATACATCGATGATCAATGGAGAAGAAGTCAACAGTGAACAAAAACGTCGTTTGAATGAAAATCCATATACAAAATTGGATCGATTGAATTCGAACAGTCAGTGATAAATAAATGTCATTTGAATCTTGTCGATAATCATTTCTCATTGTAGATCTCATGGAAATAACTCTCAAATTGGCTCCGGATGTATTTTCTACTGGCAGATCGTTCATTATCCGACAGGAACTCGCTTCTCCATTGGCCATCGAACTTCAACAACATCAGCGTCGTCATTCTCCTCTTAACTCCGATCAAGAACAGGTTTGAGAAAAAAAAATTTTCATTTCTCATCGCATTCACGATATTTCGTGTAACACAAAAAAAGAATCATATCGATAATTATTGTAGAGAAAACATAATGATACCGAAACAACAATGTCAATCAAAAAATTCATGACGAAACGTGTATGGAATCCATCATTATCGTCTGATGGACGTCGATTACAATTTCATGTTCCTTGTCTCAATGCAACGATGAAAGCTCGACCCGATCAATATCGAGTCAAGATCGATGAACACCAGCATCATCTACGTATCGAAGTTTATTTAGAACCGAACTACATTCGATATCGAGAAGTTAGGTTGCCTGTCTCAGTTCAACTCGATCAACTTACATGTAATTTCGATAACCAAATGACTTCTCTGAACGTTTCTGTTCCTCTTCAGTGAAAGTTTCGATCGCTTTATTCATGTAACAGAATCCCAAAATTTCCCTATATTATGCTTTTTTTTCCTGTTTGATTAAAATGAATCCAACAACTCGTGCATGCTCATCATTCATTGCAAAACAAAAATAAATATTGATCATTTATCTCTACTGCATCGACGGAAAATTATGAAACAATACTATTGCTGATCGAACTGAGAAAGAATCATTCTATTTCCGATATACACAATCTTGTTTGGAAAGTATCCAGACAACTATCTGTCTGTGTATCTCATTCTCAATTTGTGCAGTCAGAAAAACAGATTTTTTCTTAAATGAGATATTCTACTCCCTATGAGAATTAACAATCGAGATTGTTATTTCGAATTTTAGGAAACTTTTTTTGAACCGTACAGAACGAGATTTATTTCTCTTTTGCACAATGGTATGCATTCATTTGGCATCCAAATAAGACGCACCGATATGCAAATATAAAACTATTACTGCAACACACGCGACTATTTTTTCGTAACTAGCATAGCCGTCTTTTTTAAAAGAGTGTGGATGTGGGCCAAAAGAAGATGAATGTCCACACCCACACTCTACAGGGAAATCTATAGGGAGCCACACTACTACCCAGAAAAAAATCAAACAAACGCATTCTTCACATTTTAATGTAAAATTTCTTCCATACTAAAAATCTGTTCGATATATTCACCGTTAATAATTACATGTCTCTTTGGATACACCATGGCCGTTTTTCTCACAGATAAGTATTATATCACTTAAGATACGTCGCTTGTTTCAAGACCACATGCTACTTCTTCAAGCTTGACAATATGACGAGCTCATATCCAATTAGGTGATCTACGATTGACTGAACCAACATTCAAATGATCTAAGGGTGTGGGGTGTGGGTGTGGTAACATCTTCGATGAATTTTCTTATTCTCTTGCATGCGTAAAAATAATAAAAAAGTAACTTAAGATGTTTTCACAAACAAGATGAGATGATATTACAATGTTTAAAATGTTCATGT